TCAAGTGAGGTCAAATTTTGAAGTTGGTTGTTAAGGCCAAAAAAGGTGTCTATCTGATGCAGTTTTTCACGGCGAGTCGAATGGTGCTATTTTTGTTTCCGTACGAGGTCTAGAACTTCCAAAAAATTCATTTAAAAAAAAAATGTGTCGTGACGTCATAAAATTTTGAATAACTCCCACATTTTTGAACCGATTCTTCTCAAAATTGGTATGTAGGTGCACATAGACCACTTCTCTGACATATATTCCGGTTTTTTCGATACACTCAAAATTTTTGATTTTATAATTATTTTCCCAAAAAAGTCGATTTTTTGAAAAATTTTGGGCCAAAATCCAAAATTTTCTAAAAATCGAGATAGCCATTTGATAGACAAAGTAGAATCACGTATAACCTTTTTTGTTACGTCTTGATTCCTTTAAAAATGAAGATGTTAGCGGCGTTTGAAATTTTGCGATTTTTTAGGCGAAAATTGCGAACATGACGTCACTAAAACGTCATTTTCTCAAAAATTTTCCCACGGATTTCGCTCAAATTTTTAGGGAACGTGTCAAATTGATGTATGATAAGGTACTGAAAGTTTGACGTCGCTGGCGTAACGCGTTTAGAAGTTATTGGCGAAAAACGGGAGGGGGGCAGATTCTGCCCCCCCCCCCAGCGGGGCGCGGGTTAACAAACACATGCGGACCCACACTGGAGAGCGGCCGCACGGCTGCTCCATCTGCCATGCACGGTGTACTGATTTTTCAGCACGACCCATCTCCATTAGCGAATGCCTACCATATGTTCCTTAGTGTTATGGCTTTCATGTAAAAGGGAAAAAAATATTGTAATGGCCGAAGAAATGTGTTTATCAATTATCGGCTATTTTTAAGTTTTATCGCCTGTTTCACACGTCTTTTCCTTTCTATTTGTTTTTATCGCATAGTATCAAGATAGGTATAGAGAAAATGCTCAATGTAACCATTTGTATCATGTATGCATTTAAAGGTAGTGTGCCACCTTCGAATGATTTCCCATTTTATTTTTCCTAGGATAAGAAGCTTCTGTTTTTACCTAATATCGCAAAAAAAATCAAAAACGGGCCTAAAATAGTGCTTTTTTCACCTAAAAGTTTATCGGTTTTTCGATATGTATAACAATTATAGTGGGCTGACCTGCAAACAGGCGTCGGCAACAATCACGAATGCGGCGCACATGTGACAATAAGCAAAGGTCATTATAGAGTTACAACGTACGGGAATGAGTTATCAGCTGTCTAATCGTAGACAACACAATGTCGAATTTAAACTGTAAGCCTGTATTGGTATTGTTTCTTTAATTTGGCTGTCGAACATTAATTCATGGTTTGAAATATTATCTTATGTAAAATAATTGATATGAAACAGGCGTCTCTAAAGTTATGACCCCATCTCACCACATGAAAGTGGCAGAAATGACAATGATCAGCTGACGCATTTTTATTGGCCGAAGTCAGAGCGCGCGGCCCGACGCACCACCACCGCACCACAAAGTATGAGCAGAAGCCGCGCCCAAAGCCAGGGCCCCGGTAACGTGAGGTAGCCGAGTCGGGTCAGCGTGCGCTGACCCAAGCCGGGGCCGCGGCTTTGGGCGCGGTCTACCGCATCCCCGCGGGCAGCCCCGGGCTATCACATGACACCGGGAGGACGCGCGGCCCCGGCTTGGGTCAGCGCACGCTGCCCCGACTCGGCTACCTCACGTTACCGGGGCCCTGGCTTTGGGCGCGGTCTACCGCACCACCTAACAGGCGTGTTCGAAACCGCAGGAGATGATGATGAACGGGTTTATCGAAACTTGATTGGATGAGCCTATCGGTAATAGCGATTTCAGTGTGTGCATTTATTGTTCATAGTGGTGTGAAATGTGGTTGGGGTACGACCGACAACCCGTCGGGGCGAATTTCGCACTGGGGTACTCAAAATTTGAAGAATTAAAGACGTTTCCATGAGTTTTGAAGGTATGGATAAGTTCTAAAAATCCGGTTCTCCTTATCTGGGCCATTAACTCCATACGGTCCAGGAAAGCTGGCACACTACCTTTAATTTAGATAGTGGCGTTAACTGCAGCCGAGGTGTAGCTGCCACGGTGTGGTTCTTCCAACTAAAGTGGCATTAGATTGATAAATAATTGATAGCGTTTTCGCTCTCTTTATCTTTAAAGTTTTGATTTTTTGGTGTTGCAAATTATCATTTTCCTTCACGGATAAGTTGGCGCGGAGTTCTGTCCATGCGCCAGTTAATAAACGGCAAGTGAAATATTCTCTAAACGAGCTCAGCGTTCCGTTTCTGAAGGCTTTATTTGGAACGATACACGGATCAACTCATGGGCGCTGATGGCTTGTCGCGTCAACATTGCCGCTACCGCCCACGGCGCTCACCAAGGTGACTTGGAAACGCGACCACGAGCTGCGTGGGTCATCTCTGGGCGTCGGTATTGTTCCAGTGTATGTGCGACCTGTTTGGCATGCAACTTGTTTAAGGGCCTTTCCTTTTTTCTGTGTATTCTTCAGGCATAAGTGGCTCGGTTCAATGTCCCCACTGCGACTTCCGATGCTGGGAAAAGCAACGTCTGGACGGACACGTGAAGACAAGTCACGGTCACATCGACAGGAGCGGCAGATTCAAGTGCGAGTGGTATCAATACTCGACCGACAGGTCCAGAAACATGAAACGTTGCCGAAGGACTCACACTGGGGATCGGTCGCAATGTACGGTGCGGTTCACTAAGCAGTCCAACCTTACCAAACACATGCCGATCCACACTGGAGAGCGGCCGCACGGCTGCTCCATCTGCCATGCACGGTTCACTCGACGGTCACACCTCACCAGACACAAGCGAACCCACACTGGGGAGAGGCCGTATGGCTGCTCCCTCTGCAAGGCACAATTCACTGAACGGTCAAAACTCACTGCACACATGCGAACCCACACTGGGGAGCGGCCATACAGCTGCTCTTTCTGCAAGGCACGTTTCACTGAACGGTCAAAACTCACTAAACACATGCGGACCCACACGGGGGAGCGACCGTTCCGCTGCTCCATCTGCGCGGCACGGTTTGCTTCCCGGTCACACCTCACCGAACACATACGTACCCACACTGGGGAGAGGCCATACGGCTGCTCTATCTGCAAGGCACGGTTCACTCAGCGGGCAAACCTCAGCAGACACATTCAGACCCACACGGGGGAGCGACCGCACGGGTGCTCCATCTGCACTGCACGGTTCGCTGTTCGATCAAGCCTCGCTGATCACATGCGGATCCACACTGGGGAGAGGCCGTACGGCTGCTCCATCTGCCCGGCACGATTCAGTAAACGGTCAGTTCTCACCAATCACTTGCGGACCCACTCAGGGGAGCGGCCGTACGGCTGCTCCATCTGCACTGCACGGTTCACTGTTAGATCCAGCCTCGCTTATCACATGCGTACTCACACTTGAGAGCGGCCGTACGGCTCCTCTATCTGTCAGGCCCGGTTCGCTCAACTGGCATATCAGACACATGCACATGCGTACCCACACGAAGAGCGGCCGCACTGCTGCCACTACTGGTACTGTCTAACGGTTCGGCAGTTTGACACACACAAAGTCGGTTGTAACTTGTACACAGTTCTGAGAACTACACGGGTATGACCGATGCGGTAAATGGTTTGATTGGCGAACTCCAATGCTGAGACGTGTCGACAAGTGCATGACCGGCCGCCGTTGTTCGTTTGATATTGGTGTTTTAGCTGTCGTTCTCGTTTGTGAGCTTCGTGGCTACTCGTGTCACATCTGTTTTATTTATGTTAACACACAGTGATTCAGTAGTTGTGTTCTAAACTATCCGCCTCCCCATAGGTGATAAGGAGTGTCGCTGTTTGGCATAGCGTCGTGGCGCTGTAATTTGTGAATAATGTCCAGCTACGTTGAAAGACAATGCCTGCTTCGTGCCCACCACTCATTTCCGTATTCGCAGCATTTAGTATTTTCTGCGCAGTCTTTGTCGACGCAGCCTTTGTCGTGTAGATCGGCGTGGCATGTAAATATTTAAACTCTCTTTCCATCCTGTATGAACGCCCCGCTACTGTTGGATACGAGTACGACGTACAAACTGTCTGGACCTACAAGCGTGATTGGGTGTTGGTTTGGTGTCGCCGTCGGCAGACTTATGTGCCGGCATAAGCTGAAAGAAAAGTAGCGTTGCTCTATAGAAGAATGTACCTATTGACTTTTCAGCAGGACCCATCTCTATTAGCGAATACCTACCATATGTTCCTTAGTGTTATGGCTTTCATGTAAAAGGGGAAAAAAATATTGTCATGGCCGAAGAAATGTGTTTATCAATTCTCGGTTATTTTTAAGTTTTATCGCCTGTTTCACGCGTCTTTTCCTTTCTTTTTGTTTGTATTGCTTTATATCAAAATATAGAGAAAATGCTGAATGTAACCATTTGTATCATGTATGTATTTAACTTACATAATGGCGTTGACTGCGGTCGAGGTGTATCTGCCACAGTGTAGTTCTTCCAACTAAACCGGCATTGGATTGATAAATAATTGATTACGTTTTCGCTATTAGAGAGAGAAAATATATGAAAAATTGACCTCTCCTCGACATTTAAAATTATTAGAATAGCCAAATATTACTGTATTGATATTTCGACCAACAGGTCTTCTTCAGAATAAGACAGTGTACACAAGTGTACGAGAATACAAATTGTACGAGAATACAAATTGTATTCTCGTACACTTGTGTACACTGTCTTATTCTGAAGAAGACCTGTTGGTCGAAATATCAATACAGTAATATTTGGCTATTCTAATAATTTTAAATGTCGAGGAGAGGTCAATTTTTCATATATTTTCTCTCTCTAATATTCATAATGTTCCTCGCAAGAGCGCTCCAAAGAATACGTTTTTGCTATCTTTATCTTTCATGTTTTGATTTTTTGGTGTTACAAATTATCATTTTCCTTCAAGGATAAGTTGGCGCGGAGTTCTGTCTGTAGCAGCATGTGGATAGGACATCAGTTTTCCTTTTAATTCAGTATATTCATCCAGATCCGCAATGCCACGTAAAAAACTGAAAAGACACAACACGGTATTATAACCCTCGTTTCCTCAACATTCCTGCGCCACATTCGCAACCAACCGATAACTGACTATAATATCTGACTAGAATGTTTTTGTTCGCTCTTCAGCATAACAAACTTAGGCAAAACATCATCTAATCATAAACAAAAGCATACATACCAAAATATTAAAGAAAATACATTACTCACTCCGTCCCATGTCCCTCGGCTCGCTTTTCGTTCAAAACAATAACATTTCTTGCGCAGATGCGGCAAAAAACAAGGCCCACACGAGCCACGCTGGTTGTCACCTAAACCACTGCAGTAAATTGATGCCAGCGGGAACATGGCTCCCCAAAATTCAACAGAATTTTCTCTTCCGATAATACTAACAGATACGTCGATTACACGAACAGGCATGTGACCATGAAACAGAAGTTGTTCCAAGGATCAAGTCCTTACAGACTACGGTCTCAATGCATCTTACACTTCTCACTGCTGCCCTTTCACGGCACGTGGACCGCTAATCCTACGCCAAGCACCTCTAGTTCGTCGTCCGCTCACCAAGCGTTCAGAGGCTCCCCGACCGGGAATCTCCGTCGTGCGCCCTCATGATCATGACTAGACGATGCACTGGCCTGTCGTATTCGGCTGCGCCGATCCGCACTCGCACCTTACGCACCAAGTCATCCGCACTCGGGTACGTGGTCACTATACGTCCCAGATGCCACTGAGAGCGCGGAAGACTGTCATCGGCCACGGCGACGAGGTCGTCGACCTTCATGTTAGGCTCCTTGTCGATCCATCTCCGTCGCTCCTGCGTAGTGGGGACGTACTCGTGCTGCCATCGCGACCAGAATACGTCCGCCAGATGTTGTACGCGCCGCCATCTTCGTCGGGCGTAGACGTCTTGACGGCAGAAGACACCAGGTGGAGGAAGAAGGACCTTGGATTTACATGTGAGTAGCTGTGCTGGAGTGATAGGTTCTACGCTATCAGTGTTAGTCATGCTACAAACAGAAATGGGCCGACTATTGACGACGTTCTCGGCTTCCGCGACAAACGTCCGGAACAGCTCGTCGTCCAAATGATGACTGTGTCCGTCCAGGATACTAGTCAATGCTGTTCTTGTCGACCTGATGAGCCTTTCCCATGAGCCGCCCATGTGGCTCGCGTACGGGACGTTGAAGGAAAACTCAATGAAATCACATTGATCCTTCAGCAGCTCTCGCCTGATCTTCCCCTTCTCCATCTCCATCATGGCTGCTTCCAATGTGCTTTTGCCGCCAATGAAGTTTGTGCCGTTATCACAGAACAGCTTTCTCACAGGGCCACGGCGACACACAAATCGTCTATATGCGTTCAGAAAGGCGTCTGCTGTCATGCTGTTGACAGTTTCCAGGTGGATCCCACGACAACTCAGGCAAGTGAAGAGCAGTATCCACCGTTTGACTTCGCTTCTTCGCTCCTTTACAAAGAATGGGCCAAACGCATCCACTCCACTGTTTTCAAAAGGTTCCGTCGCCTCCAAACGCTCCATAGGCAGGTCTCCCATCTTCTGAGTGCAGGGATTTCCACGTAGTTTCTTGCACTTCACACAGCTGAGGATGATCCTCACAACTGCCGATCTTCCCTGCACGATCCAGAAACCTCTTTGTCTGACTTCATTCAAAGTCATCTCCCTTCCACTGTGGTGAGTTCGCTCATGGCACTCACGAACAATCAGGTCTGTAATGTGTCCTCGTTTCGGTAGTATGATCGGGTGAGCTAGCTCCATTGATAAGCTGCTCTTTCGAGCACGCCCTCCTACTCGAAGTAGCCCATCCTGATCCACGAAAGGATCTAGTCCTCGCAGGCTGCCAACGGTTCTCTTTCTTCTGGGGTCACCAGATCGCTCTCCATCAGATGAAAGGGCAGCCACGTCCTCATTGAAGTCTTCTTTCTGGACCTGTCGAAGGATCAACTTTTCTGCGTTCAGCAGATCTTCAGCACACAAGCCTTCCTCGGGTTCATCTCCTTCTGGTTTCGTCGTCTTCGATTTGATCCGATGTCGGAGACGTCTCACAAACTTGATGCAGAGGGCAACAGCTCTACGAGCTCTGAACCAATCAGAGAAGTACAGCAGCCGCTCCCTCAGACTCGCAAACTGTTGTGCAACGGAAGCAGCAGTTGCAAGCGTCGTCATCTTCTTTACCTCTGGGTCGTCATCAGGGACTTCGAACGTACTAGGCGTCCTCTCCTCGTCCTGTTTCCTAAGGAACTCGGGTCCCTTCCACCAGATGTCGTTCTTCTTCAGGTCAGACGCCCTCTGGCCGCGGGAAGCGTAGTCTGCTGGATTGACTTCAGAGGATACGAATCCCCACTGATCAGGTGATGTGTACTGGCGAATTTGCTGTACACGATTCGCCACGAAGACGTGGAAACGTTTGTCTTCGTTTCCGATATAACCCAATACTACCTTGCTGTCACACCAGAAGTATTCTCTCAGGTTCGGAATATTCAGCTCTTGCTTCAGGAACTGGCTGGTTTTTGTCGAAAGAAGTGCCGCTGCCAGCTCCAACCTTGGAACAGTCGTCACGCGTTTCGGCGTTACTCTGGCCTTCCCTAGCACCAGTGACGAATAGAGCTGTCCATCGGTAGTCTTCATTCGCAGATAGCTGCAGGCCCCGAGCCCCTCTAGGCTGGCGTCTGAGAAGCTGTGCAGCTCGTAGGACTCCACCAGACATGAGGATGGAACGTAGCACCTGGGCACTGCAAAAGTGGAAAGTGTAGCCAGGTCTGCTTTCCAATCAAGCCAGCACTCTTCATGTACCGGCTCATCCCATCCACCGCCATCACAACAGAGTCGCTTCAGTATCTGCTTTCCCTGCAACGTGAAGGGACACACCAACCCCAGGGGGTCGTATAGGGAACTGACGGTAGACAAAATCCCTCGTCGAGTCACTGGTTTGTCGGGCAGGTCTCCTGTCAAAAGAAGCGTGTCATCTTGAATGTTCCACGAAAGTCCAAGAGCCTGTTCCACAGGTTTGTACTCGTCCACGACGTCCTTGTGCTGAAGATTCTTCGATCGATTTTCTTCGGGGATGCTGGCGATGACATCCGGCTCGTTCGAGGTGAATTGGTGCAACTGGAAACCACCTTTGGAACACAAAATTGTTGCGCTTCCAGCCAGATCACACGCCGACGTCTTGTCCGGAGTTGATATCAATCCGTCGTCCACATAGAAATCGTGGCGCACGAAGGCTGCAGCTTCTGGGCCACACTCTTCTTCATAGAGCTCAGCTGTCTTATTCAGCGCGAACATCGCACAAGACGGGGATGATGTTGCCCCGAACAGATGCGTAGTCATTCTGAACTCTGTCGGTTCTTCCTGCAGGTTTCCATCCTTCCACCAGAGGAAGCGTAGCAGGTTTCGATGTTCTTGGTTCACTTTCACTTGGTTAAACATCCCTCTGATGTCACAAGTGAGAGCCACGGGGAGCTTACGGAATCGAGTCAAGATGCCGCAGAGGTTATTGGCCATGTCCGGTCCCTGCATGAGCTCACTGTTTAGGCTCCGTCCATCGAATTCACAGCTGCAGTCAAAGACCACCCTGATCTTTTGTTTGCGAGGGTGACGGACCCCATGGTGCGGCAGGTACCACACTCCATTGCTGCCGGCTCCACCAAGCTCCTCTTCAGGCACAGGCTCAGCGATTCCGGTCTCCAGCATTTCTGTCATGAACGTGTTGTATTCTGCCTGAAATCCTGGATCCCTTTCAAATCTCTTCTTCAACCCTTGCAGCCTTTGCATTGCAAGTTTCTTATTGTCTGGCAGCACAACCTCTGGGTCCTTCAGTGGAAGTGGCGCTTCCATGTGACCATCTTCTGTGGCGTGCATCTGTGTCTCCATTAGGTCCACAAATCTCTTGTCTTGTTGGGAGATCTTCCTCTCTTGAGGTTGGTCCTGAAACCCTGTCTCCAACATTTCAATCAAATGTGACGGCCCGACTTCCCTCGCTCGGGTCCTCAGCGTGAAGTGACACTGCCTACTCGCCGCACCATCGCACGATGCAAAACAGCACGTTCTGTTGCCGCGAGCGAGGCCAACGACACCCCAGCCCATCGCTGTGCGGACTGCCCACGGCGCGTTGTCGTCTCCTGTCACGATGTCCTGAGGCTTGATGGCCTTGCTGCAGTTCAAGCCAATGAGTAGACCAATCGCCGCCTCCGGGTAGTAGGGAGGCAAACTCTCAGCTACTTCTCTCAGATGAGACCAGTTCGCTGCTGTCTCACGCCTTGGGATCAGTTGTCGATCTACAGGCATGTCTTCACGGGTGTACGTTGTGGGGAGGCTGATCTCACTGCTGGAGTCCAGCGCTTCGATGACCAGTCCCGTCACTGCTTTCGCCTTCACCTCGGTTTTCCCAGTAATCGTACTCAATTCCAGAGAGGTTTCCACTCCGGGTGCTTTGATCTTGTCGCAGACGCTCTCAGTTATGAACGTCCCATCAGACTGTGGATCCAGAATGGCGTAAACCATTTCCTTGTGCTCCGGTGTTGTCCGGTGATGGACCAGTACAGGCACGATCAATGAATGAAAACATGGGGTTCCATCATCTGCATCGCTGGGCGGTGATCTGATTTCAGTTTTCAGTGTTGTAGCCGTTTGTGTTTCGACTGACACCGAGCGTCCGGGAGTCCCTCTTGATGACCTGAAATCATCATCATGTAGGAGTGTCGGGTGAGCACCGTGGCACTTTCCACATTCTCTTCTCCTCTTGCACTCCTTCCAGATGTGGCCTATACGCAAGCAGCCACGACACACTCCATGCTTGCGAATCACAACATGTTTCTCTGGCAGGGCCATCTTTGCGAAGACCTCACATGAGTCCAGTGGATGCCTCTCTACGCAGAGGACACACTTCCACCTGTAGCTGTCAGGAGCTGATTGGCTACTGCTGGTTGCTTGGTAGCTGGGATCAGTTCTTCGGAAATTCCTGTCCGACTTCCTTTCAGCTACTGCACCAGTCGAAGAAGCGAATGCTCCAGCTCTGTCTCTTGTTTTCTTCAGCTTGTCTTGGTCTGTCTCCAGCGATACTGGTCCACAGGCGACTCGAGCCTCTTTGGTCAAGAAGTTGACAAACACTTCTAAGCCTGGGTACTCTGACTTGTCACGTTCATAGATGTGCTCATCAACAACCCTTCTCCAGCGATCTACAAGATATCGTGGAAGTCTTTTCAGCAGCTGGGTAATATCATCGATGTTCCTCAGATTGCTGAGTCCTGGTACTGTCTGAGCTGCCACCAGACAACCTTCCAGGAAATCTGCCAGCTCACGAAGGGCCTTGCCATCTCCAGGCCGAACATGTGGCCAGCTGTGGAGCCGCTGCCTATAGGCATTTGCTGTGACAAAGTCGTTTCCATACCTTTCAATCAGTTTCTGCTTTGCCTTAGAGTAGGCATCCTCACTTCTCAACTGGAGAAGTCCTTGAATTGCACGTTTAGCACTTCCACCTGTGTAGGTTGCAAGATAGTGCAGTCTTTCTGTGCTCTCAGTAGTCCTTGACTCAATGTAACATTCAAATGACTTGAGCCACATTGCGAACTGCTCAACGTCACCCTTAAATACCTCAGGTTCAAGAACAGGCAGCTGGTTCTGTGACTTTGATATGATATGTGCCAGTCCTGTCAAAATTCCTTCGGCCTGAGCATTGCCATCCGAGTTCTTCTCTTGTGTTTTCACATGTGTCTTCACTTGTGTGTCCTTTTGATACTCATCTGGCCCATCTTCATTCAGAAGTTCTTGTTCAAACTTTTCGCTGATATCCTCTTGTGCGTTTTGAATGTCAAGCTGCACTTGTAACTCCAGCTCCTTTTCTCTCAGCTCCAGATCCTGTCTTTCCTTCAGAAGTTCTTGTCTTTTCTTCACGGCCATCAGTTGCGCCTTCACTTCTGCCTTCTTTCTCTCATCCTGGAGACGCAGCATCATGAGGTTTGCTCTCATTGAACTTGATGTCGTACTAGCTCCTGCCACAGAGCCTTCAAGCTTTGTTTCATGATCAGTCAAAGCAAGTTCCTTTTGCAAAGCATCCACACCCTCTTTCATCTGGTTCAACTCTACCCCTATTTCTGCATGTCTTGACAGATGCTCCTCTTTTCTGTCCGCAGGAAGCAGAGCTTGCAAATCGATAGCTGTTTGCATGAGCGTCACATATCCATGAAGCCACTGTCTCACCTTCTTTGTCACTGTTTTGTGGAGAACTTCATCTGCCTTGACCCTTTCGGACACATCTTCTTCCAACAGTTCAGCTCCTGTCTTCTTCAATTCCTTTAGAAGAACATTATAGCTCTTCTCCTTGGTTTCTAACTGGTATGCAGCACCTTTCGGATTTAATGTGACCTTTCTCCCACTCCTTCTAGCGAGCAGTGCTGCACCACCCTCCTTCGCTTCACCTTCCAGACCTTCCATCTTCTTACTTTCATCCATTTCAAAGCAGTTTCAAACAAAAAATAAAATAAAAGAAAAGTGAACACTACAGGTACAGGTTTATGGGTCGTTGGAAGAACTGAAATAATATGAGGCAAATAAAGTTCTACTCAGTGTATAGATTGTTAGTTCGGGTCATTTCACTACCTACAGGTTCAAGGAATTGGTCCCAACGTTCATCTAGCTTTGTTCGGATTGGGGGATTTTTTACTGTAGCAGCATGTGGATAGGACATCAGTTTTCCTTTTAATTCAGTATATTCATCCAGATCCGCAATGCCACGTAAAAAACTGAAAAGACACAACACGGTATTATAACCCTCGTTTCCTCAACATTCCTGCGCCACATTCGCAACCAACCGATAACTGACTATAATATCTGACTAGAATGTTTTTGTTCGCTCTTCAACATAACAAACTTAGGCAAAACATCATCTAATCATAAACAAAAGCATACATACCAAAATATTAAAGAAAATACATTACTCACTCCGTCCCATGTCCCTCGGCTCGCTTTTCGTTCAAAACAATAACATTTCTTGCGCAGATGCGGCAAAAAACAAGGCCCACACGAGCCACGCTGGTTGTCACCTAAACCACTGCAGTAAATTGATGCCAGCGGGAACACTGTCCATGCGCCAGTTAATAAACAGCAAGTGAAATATTCTCTAAACGAGCTCAGCGTCCCGTTTCTGAAGGCTGTATTTCGAACGATACACGGATCAACTGATGGGCGCTGATGGCTTGTCGCGTCTACATTGCCGCTATACCGCCCACGGCGCTCACCAAGGTGACCTGGAAACGTGACCACGAGCTGCTTGGGTCATCTCTGGGCGTCGTGATTGTTCCCGTGTGTGTGCGACCTGCTTTGGCATGCAACTTGTTTAAGCGCCTTTCTTTTTTCTGTGTATTCTGCAGGCATAAGTGGCTCGGTTCAATGTCCCCACTGCGACTTCCGATGCTGGGGAAAGCAACGTCTGGACGGACACGTGAAGACAAGTCACGGTCACATCGACAGGAGCGGCAGATTCAAGTGCGAGTGGTATCAATACTCGACCGACAAGCCCACAAACATGAAACGTTGCCGAAGGACTCACACGGGGGATAGGTCGCAATGCTGCTCCATCTGTACGGTGCGGTTCACTAAACAGTCCAACCTTACCAAACACATGGCGATCCACACTGGAGGGCGGCCGTACGGCTGCTCCATCTGCCATGCACGGTTCACTCGACGGTCACACCTCACCAGACACAAGCGAACCCACACTGGGGAGCGGTCGTATGGCTGCTCCATCTGCTCTGTACGATTTCCTGACCGGTCACACCTCACTACACACATGCAGACCCACACTGGAGAGCGGCCGCACGGCTGCTCCATCTGCACTGCACGGTTCACTGTTCGATCAAGCCTTAAAAATCACATGCGGATCCACACTGGAGAGCGGCCATACGGCTGCTCTATCTGCTCGGCCCGGTTCACTGAACGGTCCACCTTCACCAAGCACGTGCGAACCCACACTGGGGAGAGGCCGCACGGGTGCTCTATATGCACTGCACGGTTCGCTCAACGGCCACACCTCATCACGCACATGCGTATCCACACGGGGGAGCGGCCGTACTGCTGCTCCATCTGCATGGCACGGTTCGCTCGACGAGGGAATCTCATCAAACACATGAGGACCCACACGGGGGAGCGGCCGTACGGCTGCTCACACTGCCAGGCCCGGTTCGCTAACCGGTCACACCTCACTACACACATGTGGACCCACACTGCGGAGAGGCCGTACGGCTGCTCTATATGCACTGCACGGTTCATTGATCGATCACACCTCACCAGACACATGATGACTCACACTGGGGAGCGACCGTTCGGCTGCTCCATCTGCACGGTACGGTTCGCTGAACGGGGACACCTCAAGGCACACATGCGGACACACACTGGGGAGCGGCCGTACGGCTGCTCTATCTGCAAGGCACGGTTCACTCAAGGGACAAGTCTCACCTTACACATGCGTACTCACACGGGGGAGCGGCCGTACGGCTGCTCACACTGCCAGGCCCGGTTCGCTCAACGGGCAAAGCTTATCAGACACATGCAGACCCACACGAAGACTGGCAGCACTGCTGCGACTACTGTCTAATGGTTCAGCAGTTTGACGCAAAAACTCGATTTTAACTGGTACACAGTTTTGAGAATTACACAGGTTTGACTGATGCGGTAAATGGCTTGGTTGGCGAAATGCAATGCTGAAATATGCCGACAAGTGCATGACCGGCTGTCGTCATACGTTTGATATATTAGTGTTATACAGCTTTTTACGCCCAATTTAGGGCGGCAGTGCGCACATTTCAGTAATAGTGGGGGCGATTCCGACAGTATGCCATAGTCTGTCAATGGCGATTTGTCGCAATCGGTTGCACTATTATTGAGCTGCGTGCACTATGTCTATATTTAGTCGTAAAAAGGTGTAGCTGTGGTTCTCGTTTGTGAGCTTCTTGGCTACCCGTGTGAGTGTCACATCTTGTTTCTTTATGTTAACACACGGTGATTCAGTAGTTGTGTTCTTAACTATCCGCCTCCACATATGAGTTAAGGAGTGTCGCTGTTTGGTACAGTGTCGTAGCGCTGTGATTTGTGAATAATGTCCAGCTACTTTGAGGGACAATACATTCTTCGTGACCACCACTCATTCCTTTATTCGTAGCATTTCTGCGCGGCCTTTGTCGACAAGGCGAAGGCCGAAAGGAGATCGGCGTGGCATGTAAAGCTTACAATACCAGTATAACGCCTTTTGGGGCGACTAACGGAGCGAGCGAGAGGGTGGGCCTTGCACATGCGAAATTGTGAGGGGGTATCTCCAACTGACGTGTGCACAGCACCCTACTAACCGGTCTCCAGCGATTTGCCAAATTTGAGGACATGATCGGCCCAGCCGTTCTCGAGATCTGGAAGCGGCACCCTGCACGTGCGCACGTGCAAAATGGGTCCCAAGTGACTTTTGCACGGCACCCTACTAACCGGTCCCTAACTGCGTACCAAATTTGAGCGCAATCGGTCCTGCCGTTCTTGAGATCTGGAATCGACCCCTGCACGTGCGCACGTGCAGCAGCACCCCAACTCTGGCACATGGATAATGGATATGCATTGCCTAGTGGGTGCCTACCTACATGCCAACTTGAAGCGCAATCGGCCAAGTAGTTACCGAGATATTGCAACTTTTACAAAACTGACACCCCTTCGTTTTGCACGTGGCACGTGCACAAGGGGTCACCCACATGCATCGGGAATAGTCCAATACTTAGTAGAAGGAATGAAGCTTTAGCTACCCTACAAAAATTACCGCATGTAAATCGGTAGAGCGTTCCCCGTCCTTTGACCTTGACCTTGACCTTGAAGGTCATGACCTAGTGACCTGGAAATCGCCGTCAACCTGCAATAAGGAACGAGGAATCGAGTGAGGGCCTTTTCATCAAAATCGGTTCACTGGTTCTTGAGTTATTGCGTTCCCCGTCCGAATATCGAATTTTCATTTTGATATTCGCGAATATCAATCTGCTGCTCAATTGATGGACGTTGATTTCGATGACCCTGAGCCTTGGATTTCGACATTTATGACGCAGTTTTGCTGCAGTACCACGTGAGAGCACGCGTCGTGTGTTGCTAGTGATGCGCACTTCAACTTTGACTCAGGCCCATGTCGTCCCCTATCTCCGCGTGTGTCCACTAACACGAATGACGTCACGCATGTGGGCGGAGCTATGGGCGGAGCCTAACGCACGCGGCAGTCCAAGCCGCCATATTTGAATTTATATTTTAATAGAATCTTGCCGATATTTTGGTTGAAGTCAATTTATATGGATAGCTTGGTGACAGTTTAGCTATACGAATAATAATTTATTATGGATGTGCGTATATTCAGCTTGGAATTGCAATTAAAGTTCCGCACCGCAAAGATTCGAACTCGGGACCTTTGGAATACTGCGCGGGCACGCTAACCACTACACTACCGCGACCGCGCGGCGACCGGCGGCAGGGAGGCTGCGGAGACATGGGGGGACATTTTACGATTTTGTGAAAAAAGCAAAAGATTTAGCAAAAAATACGTAATAGATAACTTGCAGAAAATTGTCTGCTCTTTTAGATAGGATACTTAGGTTTAATATATCTTATGCAGACTTCATTCTACAGTGCTTCGAAAATCGCTCATTTACATGGGGATTGAACGGGGCTTCGAGACTTGACTCCAAATGACGTCACGAGCTGACGTCACGAAAAGGTAGAATCGCCGGACGACCCTACCTGGTATATAGGGCCTTGCTTTGACTTCAACTTATCCCGCGCCCTGCTGGGGGGGGGGGGGTGTTTGAACACCCCCCCCCCTTGTGGTTTTTCGCGAATATCTCAAAAACGGCGGCGCGGAGCGCCGCCGTTTTTGGTACACCTTATCATACATCAATTCTACACATGTTGTGAAAATTTCAGACCAAGGTCATTCAAGGTCAGGTCACCAGGTCACTTGAAGTGACCTCACCTCATAAAAAGTTTCAATGTCTGTCTTAGCTACACCGAGTGACCGATCGCTTTGAAACTTTCAGCGATTGCTAAGAGCAATAGCATGTACAAAATGTATATCTCAGAATTTTGATATCGATGACCTAAGGTCAGGTCAATTTTGCGACCTCCCCATTATAAGTCAATGGGAGAAAATTGAAATGCGCCTCCTTTGGTCGAAAGACATTATAAACACTCCCAAACACTGAATTACAAGTGGTTTAGACACACTGAACATGAAAATGGTGTCCGTGACCCCTGTTTATGCCCTGAGGTCATCTTAGGTCACGAATGGTATCTAACAGTTTTTCGCAAATAACTTTTGATAGAGGCATGCTAGAGCGATGAAAACGCCTTAGATGTGTTCAGCTCGACGATACGGATCGACTGATATGCATCATGACCCTTTCCGGTCAGGTCATGACCTTGACCTGAGGTCAAATTTTCAAGTTGACCTTTCAAGGTCAAGTTATAGTTCATTCGATGCGTCTTGACGAGAGGAACACGATGCCGGTAAAAGTAAGCTCGTACAAGGCTTGGGTCAAAAGTTATTGCAGAAAAACTGTTTCCGAAAAAATCGGCTATTTTTGCAGTTTTTGCCCCCTGCAGGCAAAACTGTTGACGTTAGGTCAAATCTGAGAGAATTATTCAGAAAGGGCGTTAATAGGGCTATCGAATGCGCTTTTCCGCGGCGCTGTAGCTCTATTGGTTCCCGAGTTATGCGTTGACTTCTTGGAAATTGTCGACATTCGACCTGGAAATCGGCGAAATTTTGCCTTCAATGACCTCTGGTGACCTGACCTTTGACCTGACCAAAAAATTGACCGAAGTGATTTCCTCATTATTTTTGACGCTCTTTCGAACGCCGCCTTCCGCGTATCGCTACGTGGCCCAGGAGCCGAGTTAGAAGGGGGGGGGGTGTTCAAACACCCCCCCCCCCCCAGCAGGGCGTGGAAATCCAGGACCCCCAGCCGGGCGCGGGTTATTCTCATCAAGGCCATCTATAGAATTCTCATTCTGAGCGGACTCGCACAGAAAACGAGGGATCTTGATTT